ATAGATGATGGATTGAAATACCACAACCACCTTCTTCTCTGGACATCCACCCCAAACCTTTACCTACTTGTTGATATCCAGACTAACATCATAAAAACCTCCTGTGCGGAATGCCAAACACAGTTCCATACCAAATGACAAAATCCTCCTTGGAATAACCCCAAATACTTTGTTCAACTCCCATTCAAGAAAAATGAAGGTAACAACCCAACCAAAGCAAGCCACCTTCGAAGGGAAGACGAAGGGGCAATAAGGTTGAAGGTCTCTCTGCTTAACTCCATGTTATCTCGAGCTGTTTAATAGTTACCTCTGCGCACCTCTGCTATGGGATTTACACCTTAGGCTCTAATACCAATTTAAGATAACAGCAGCACCCTGAACCCTAACTTTTGAAAACCCTTTCGAAAACAAAACCCTAAACTGAAAACTTGAAATTTAGGATAATAGCAACACCCTGGAACCCTAGCAAATTTTGAAAACAAAACCTTAAACTTAAAACTTGAAAACCCTAAACCCTTTTGAAGGACCCACTCAGAGTGGCACTCACAGAGCATACGGGTATCAGGGTTTGGTAAGCATAAAGGATCACAAGAAAGAAAACAAAGCCAAAAGGCTAGATATCATTACTAAGGATCGTTCGAACTCTAACAAAACTTAGAACCCTAAAAGAAGAGGCAAGAGGGGATGCTTCCCGAACTCTGCATGATAGTACTGTTTTCATATTTTTATCAAAAGAATGATTTTCATTCTTTATCAAAAGAAAAATGATTTTCATTCAAACCTCTAATTACATCAGTGGGAGTGGCACATTACTTTTAAACAAATTGCTCAATTATCATTACAAGAAAGAATTGTGACAAGACTAATTTAGACTATTAGATGATAGCATGACCAGGTAGTCTGATATCCAAAATAAAGTCTCTCTAAGGCAATAAGTGCCTTTAAGGACAGTCACAACTCAGCAAGCATAGTAAAATTGCATAGAGGCCAATTTTTATTTATCGATCTATACCCTCAAGAAAGATAATAAAGTTGCACCATGTAATACCATGTGTTGTGTCATTTTACATGAACATAACCATATCCGCAAAAGAAGTTTCTCAAAAGAATGCAACCAGACGGCTGGGTGAGCATGTTGATTGCTCAAAGACCTAGTTTCGCTCCTACCTCTTCTCAAAGCCTCAAAAGGCCAAGTGGAAATGTTGGAATTATGTTTGTGTGAACGGGGATTCGGTTAAAGCCCAAAAACCCCGGCTCGTGAGGCGATTGAGAGAAGCCATTTTTTCTTTAGACCGAGAGGTTTATGGGTTCCCTCGATATGGATGCCTCATGAAATTTGTAGCCACGGCGTTTGTGAATGGATTGTGCTCTGTGTTTTAGTTTGCCCAGTGTGAGTGAACTAGGCTTTGAGAGAACAAGAGCCAAAACCCTAACTCATTGTAATCACTCACAGTCATAATGGGAATGCCGCTCAGGCCACTAGAGATGCCTATGCCACCTAGGTCTCTAAGAATCGCACTGCGATGAACACAATGACTGAGACATATGCAAGAGAGTATGAGGTGTGTAGGATAGTGAAAGAAATAATGGATAGCCTCAAGAAAGCATATGATACGCCTTCACAAAACCGAAAGGTTCTCGTAATGAAGCAATTACTAGACTTCCGCATGCCAGAGCAGTGGACGGTGGGAGACCATGTGCGATGATTCGCGAGCTGGACGCAGCTAAGATGATTTTCGATGCTCCAACCCAAACCACCCTATATTTTTCTCTCTAACCTGGTGGGCCATGAGACACAGCTGGCGTTTGACGAGATCGTGTATTTTCCGGAGGCCAAAGAAGAAAGAACAACAAGGAAGGTCCACGTGGTAAAATCTAACTCCGATGGATCTAAAATTGAAGGGAAGGCTTGGACCAAGACTCACCTAGCCCAAGAAACCCGCCTAGCGCTCGACTGACTGTTTTTTAAAATCACTGGGCCCTATAGCCACAAGAGAAACACGACCATTCCAATCCAAGACTGCAACATAAATCCCACACCGAGAGTCATAGTCCACTTTGGAGCTCCAAAGGCGCAAGACTGCAAAGGCTCAAGTATAAATCCAAGACTGCAACATAAATCCCACACCGAGAGTCATAATCCACTTTGGAGCTCCAAAGGCGCAAGTATAACCTCTACTGCCTCTCACCATGTCTAAGCCAAACAACTCGCAATGCAGAATGTCGTAGTGCCATGTTGTGTCTGAGACGCAAAGGCGTAGCATTTGAGACTGCCACCCCACCATCACCTAGAGCAAATCATGTCTAGGGGGGATGCGGGCCTTCATCCGCTGTAGTGGTTGGCCCATCGCAAGTCGGGGACACAACAATGCAGCATCAGGACCGCCACCCCACCATCACATCTAGTGAATTCATGTCAAGGAGCCAGGCAGGCCTTCATTCGTTGTCACGCTAGGGATGGCACAGGGTCAAGTCATCCCCACCATGAATTTGTTGCCTTGCTCGATCACATGTATAGCCAATAGATATGATGAGATTCTTCAGCTAAAGATCATCATTTTTTGGCATTCCTTCAATGTCCAATCAACAAGTCAAAGAGCTGGTATACTTGGCTGCCATGCAAACTCATCCGACACCACAGCCAACCCCCTAAATTTGCAATGATAGGGGTCAAAAGAGAATATGAGGATCTAGGAATAGGAGGAAGGCTAGGAATAGGAAGGCAGGTGGCTTAGCTTGGCTAGATGCAAGTTTGACAACCCCACCTGTCAAGGTACAAAGGATGTCATTTCTGCATCCCACCTCAATTTCATGAATGGCATGCCTTCAAGGCACCTCCACTGTCCAATCGACGAGTCAAAGAGCTGGATTGGCCAGTTGCA